ACAGCGTGTGACACAGTGGGACTGGTAAAAGAGTGATCTTTAGGTCCAGTGCCAGTCACATAATGCTGGTCAGAATGATAAAACCCGCTGGACTCCAGAAGATGCTGTTACAATCACCTCTCTTTTGTTCCTTGAAAAGCAAACATCCAATAAAATATAATCAACCAAAACAACCATTGCAAACTAGCAGACCCCACAAATAACACCCCAACGCAGAGATTAGGGAAGCCCACCTGAACCTCATAACAGGAGGTAATTAGGTGATCATTCTCCCTATTATTTGGCATCTGTCAAAATTTGCCACCTCTGCCTTGTGATGCCTCTCTGGTCACTCAGCTACCTTTTCAAGCAGTTCAGCGACTGGGAGGCCATTTGCTTCTCCTGGTATTTCATTGTCGCTGTCTGGATGGGTCTGCGTTACTTCTCCCAGCACACGAGCACTGTCAGCAGCATTTCAAGTCCTCTAGCCTGCCTTCTTGCTTTTATTTAGATTCTTCTTTTCTTCCTGAAGGACTGGCTTTCAGAACGACTGTGATGTACAGCCTTGTTGAGGACGAGATTGTTGTGACCTCGGCAGCCTGCCAGTTCCTCTTTGGAGTCCAACATCCTCTGCCACATACAATAGGGGTATCTGCTTGACGCTGCTGTCACTGTGTTACTTCTGTCCTACTTTCCTGGCACGTGGCTCTCCTGCAACTGCTTCAGGTTCATTGTCTTTAGCTCAGAAAGGGTTGTTATATATTGAGAGCGAGTTTTGCCTTCCTGCCCATTTCAAAGTTTCTGATCAATTGATCGCAGAAAGAGAGAGAGCTACACTGCAATATTCTACCAGTGAATCCCTTTAATCCATCTCAGCTTTTTATACCATTATGATTTTTCCAATTTGTGCCGGCTTTCCTGCTAAATCCTTTTGATTGTACCCAGTAATAGCAAAAAGTGATGTATTGAAGAGAATTGCCAAAATGGGCTGCCCCTAAAGTGTGATCCATTATTGGCTATTAACTCATGTGAAATCTCAATGGTGAGCAAAGTGCAATTTAAAATGTGTTATTTTGTTGCTACTCAGTGTGCCATGCAACACTGCAGTTACTTAAGAAGAGGTAACTGTTAAGAAGACGTATCCTTTCCAGTCTGATTTATATATGTCTTTGCCAAACTTGGCTCAAAGATGATGATTTCAGTCGCTCTTCTCCATTGTGCTTCCGATCTTGCTCAGTTCTTGGCCAAGTCAACTCTGCCGCACAGTCTTGTTGCAATTTGGCTGTTGACTGTACCACACTGAGTTTGGTCCCTAATTTAGGCTCATAAAAATGAGGGTTGGAAGGGACCTCAGGAGGTCGCATCTAGTCCAACCCCCCTGCTCAAAGCAGGACCAGCCCCAACTAGATCATCCCAGCCAGGGCTTTGTTGAGCTGGGCCTTAAAAATCTCCAAGGATGGAGCTTCCACCACTTCTCTAGGTAACCTGTTCCAGTGTTTTACTACTCTCCTAGTGGGAAAGCTTTTCCTAATATCTAACCTAAACTTCCCTTGGTGCAACTTGAGACCGTTGCTCCTTGTTCTGTCATCTGCCACCACTGAGAACAGCCCAGCTCCATCCTCTTTGCAACCCCCCTTCAGGTTTGTCTCTCCAGTAGTTGTTCATTTGATAACTTGGCTTAACACTGATTTGTAACATAGTGGTCGATAGTCTCACCTGGCACTTGGCTTCTTCTTATGAAAATGAACCTTTCCCAAGTGACTTTCTTCCACAGATCACAATGAATCATAGAAAAGTAGGACTGGAAGGAGCCTCAGGAAGCCATTGAGAGTCCAATGGCTCAAGGCAGGATAACCCCTATTCAAAACCACTCCAGACAAGTGTTTGTCTAACCCATTCTTAAAACTGCATGAACAACCCTCTCGCACAGCTAAAAGCGCAATGCCCGAGAACATCAAAACACCCTTTCACTTGCTGCTGGTAAAGCAGGGGGATGAGGGCACTGTCAATGTCCTGCCACTGCAAGGACAGGAAGAAGACTGTTAAAATATGCTTGAATGACCCAAGGAAGAGGACCATGCTTTCCCACTAGAGATGAAGGCAACCCCCCCCCCCCCCCCCCCCCCC